AAAAGGAAAAAAATAAAATCTTTAAGAAAAATAAACAAATGTGCTTTGGGGGCAGAGGCTGGAAGTCTCTCTCTCAGCTCCTCCTCTGGGGCGGTCACGCTCAGTCCTGTGGCTGTATTGTACCAGGATGCTGTTTAGAAAAGGACTTGTTCCGGCCTCTAAATGGACCGCAGCGTTCTCAAAGCCCGAACTCATCTCACAGGAGTTATCAGTCTGTTCCACAGAGAGATCCTTAAAGAAAAAATTGAACGGGTGATGGCAATGATGGCATAACCATCTAAATGGACTTCCATCTAGCATCTGCATTGGGTACTGTTTGAATTGTTCATTGCTGACACAAGCTCTACACATGTGAAAATTTCAGCAAGAGTATACAAAACCATACCAAAGACCTCTAAAGTGACATCAGCACTTATTACAGACCATAGCTGCTCTCTCTTTCTGGAATGCTTTTCTTCCATCCCTTTGCCTGGTTATTTCTTATTTATCTTTTAAAGACGAAGCTCAATCATCACTCCTCCAAGAAGCCTTCTCTGATACCCTCAGGATGGACCCTTTTTTATAGATTTTATTACTGTGAGTAATCATCCAGAAAAATGCTTAGCCCATCACATTGAAAGGGCTTAGCATCTAGCTTACCTGTTGATTGTCCCATTAACCTAAAAGCTCCTCCAGATCAGCAGTTCTGTTTTATTATCTCTGTGTCCCCAGTACTTGGTATGGTGCAAGGCAGAGTTAACACTCAGGACATGTTTTTGAACTGAACTGAATTGTAAGGGCAGAAGAATCCTCTTCCTCTGTCTTCATGTCTTCTTCATGTCTTTTGGGTATGAATGATTTATTCTTGGAAATTAATTCAAAGCCATTCAACTGACTTGAGCAGAAGAAATAGTGAAGAACTAGAAGGCAGTGGAAACACTTGGTCAGGCTTTTGGGACAAGAAGATCTGAAAGAGAGAGGAAAATGGGTTATGTCCAGTAGACAGGGAGAAGTTCGGTGGCCGGATGGCATCTGAGGGCCACTTGGGGATATGGCTTAAGAGGTGAGAATTATGATGGAAGACAATCGGGATGCGAACAGCCTTCCGAAGTGGTAAAGAATGAAATGAGATTTGCATTTGAGGACAGATAAGATAGTGGAAGGAGCGCAGACTCAGGCTTGACTCTGAGCTCTGCTGCATTCTTTTCTGTGACAACCTCTCTGAGTTTCATTTTGTTTATCTGTAAAGTGGGCACACTAGCACTTAAAGGTAACCAAAAGAGTAATAAGATAGTGCCTAGCAGATAATAGGTGTTCCACAAAGTTTACCTTAGAACCTGCCTGCTGGTCTCTTGTCATTGGTTTTAAGGTCATTGGCTGGGAGGGATAGTGATGGGGGCATAGAAAGTGTAACAGTGGTCATGGATCCAGTTATTTGTTCTGGTAAACATTTTTGCTGAGGGTGTACAATGTGCCATGGAATAAGTATGTGTCCTGTCAACCTGCCTTCAAGATGTTTGTAGTCTAGCAGAGGACTGACATCTAAGCAGATGATATGGCAATAGGTTATCTAAATAGCCCCTCACGGGAGGGGACTGACTCATTCAGTCTAGAGAAATCAGGGAGTACTTCCCAATCGACCCTCATGTGGGATCTGGAAGGACAAGTAGGAGTTCACCGCATGGACAAGGTGGAGAAGGAGGCACCTGTCCAGGCACGGAGGTTCATGTTAGGGTAGTTTGCACATGGCAGGAGTGTAAGATATGAGAGGACAGTGGCAGAAGATGATGGAGAGATGAACAAGTGCCTTCCTGCCATGCTCTTGAGTTTGGAATTGGTCCTGAGGTCACAGCAGAGCCACTGAATTTAGGAATTGATAAGGAAGTCATTGAGAGGCTAGGATAGAACATCTAAATATAGAGTGATCGTATCTATGTTGATGTCTTGGCTCCTGCTAAGCCTTTCTTACTTTCTTCCTTGATTTGCTGTTAAAGTCGGAAGGGATTAATAAAGTTGTTCATTTGAGTTATAATAACCTTGTTAATTTTTTAAAAATTCTGGTCCTGTGGTCTTCATGCTGTTTTAATGGACTGTAAATCCTTGAGTGGTCATGCTTATTAAATAACTAATGTGGGATCCATTCATTCCTTCAACAAACATGGACTGAGAGGCTGCTCTGGGCCAGCCCGCTAAGGACCCTGAGGACAGATAGAGTCCCTGCCTTGAGAGACGGACAACAGATTAATAAATATGTAAGATATGGGTGGAGGAGGTGAAGAGAGTCCTGTCTTAAGGAAGTGATCTGATGTCTCTACCTGACTGCCTTGTGGAGGGCCGAGGAAGAGGTCCTCATGTAGCAATTTGAACACTTACTGTTTTCTATTGCTGACTGTAATCTTCTTGGAGTCCAGTAGATAGTAGGTTCTCTCTCTCTCTCTCCCTGTCTCTCTCTCTCTCTTTCTCCAAACAGCAGCATGAAAACTACATCTACCACCACTCATTGGGCATGTCTGAAGTCATTTGTAAGGAATGGAATTCTTTGCCCTGTGTACGTTCCTCTTTCTGAGATTTCCTCAGAAAGATGACGATATCCAGTTTCTAACCTAGAAATCAGATAATTGGATTTGAGAACAATAGCTTCTATTTTTCCCCCTTAGTTCCAAAAAGAACGTTAGCTCTGTTTTCATCTTTCTTATTGGGTTCCTCCCCTGTGCTTGGTTCTGTGCTAAGTGCTTTGCATATAGAATCTCTCTTAATCGCTCAGCACAACTCTACCAGATAGACAGCATTACCTTTCTTTTCTTTTTTTATCTTACTTTTTAAAAATTTATTTTACTTATTTTTCTCGCAGTTGGTTTATAACATAATCTAGATTGCATGTGGATATCATTGTATTTTGACTTCTGTATAGACTGCATCATGCTCACTACAAATATTCTAGTTTTTATCCGTCACCATACATATGTCCCTTTCACCTCCTTCTCCCTCCCTCACCCCCTTCCCTGCTGGTAAATACTCATTTCCTATGTGTTTGTTTATTTGTTCATCTTCCACACCTGAGTGAAGTCACATGGTAGTGGTAATTGTCTTTATTTTCTAAATGGGGACCCTGAGACCCAGGGAGATTATTTCACTCCCTGAGGCCACATTCCTCCACAGCACAGAGGCATAGGGGCCTGCCTCAGGACAGTCATGTCCCATCTCTGACCTGGCCTCAATCCTGCCCTTGTTTATTCTCTGTGACCTTTTCTGTCTCAATATTTCCTTTCTCTCCCTCGTTCCTTTGGCAAATGTCATCTGTTGGGACTGACCACAAAAAGATATGGCCTGGTGGGAGCTCTCGGAAGAGAATAGTCAGGTTTGAGTGGATGGGACTAGACACATGCCAAGTTCTGACACCGGGTGAGGTCAGGAAAGAGGCCAGTGCCCTCATTGCCAAGAGTAGTTTTCAGTAAAATGGGCGCTTTTCCAGCAAGCCCTCAGGGGACATGGATTAACATCCCCTGTGACTCTGAAAACTGGGCTGCAGGGGGAACTCTGTTCCTGGCGCTTTGCGTGCTTGGTCTCCCTTGGTCCTGTCAATGGCACCCTCAGCGAGATGCCATGGACCTCTCAGGCACGTGAAGAAACTGGAGGCTCAGAGAGGTTGTGTGACCTGCCCAAGGCCGCAGCTTCTCTTCCAGGTAGAGCTAATTCAAACACAACAGCTTGGCTCCTGCTCCAGAATCAGAGCTCCCTTTCTCAGAGCAAATTCCGCAGCACACTAACAGGAGGAGGGCTTGGTTTCTGGCTGAACAGGGAAAATGCAGTGGCCCAGCCCCTTAGGGAGGAGAGTTGCCTGCCCTGCACATCGGCCTGTTAAAGGCTGAGAGGGTCCTCAGGAAAGAGACCTTTGCACTCTGTTGAACCCCGGATTTCCTAAGCATGATGACCCCAGGAATCTGCTTAAAAGCAACAGTCACTACCCTCTTGAGAAAGTAGGGTGGGGAATAAGAAATAACACCTCGCTGCCTCCCTGGTTGTCTTTTTGGTAGAGAAAGAATGAAGAGAGAGAGGGTAGGAAGGAGGAAGGAAGGCAGGAGAAAGGAAAGGAGGAGACAGAAGGAATGAAGTAAAAGTGCTGCTAAACGTTTCTCAATAAAAATCTGAAATACATCTTCCGCCTTTCTTTCATTTCTGGGCTCTCTCTCTCTGTGCTTTTCAAATTTGCGCACACACTTTTTCCCAAGTGGATAAGATGAGACAGAAAGATTGATTTCTCTGGGCTGATGACACTTTTAAATAATGGTCCTTGACACAGAGAGGCTGCCTGTGCAGGTGACCGAGACTGGAGCAAAGATGTGAGTCCAGAAGTGGGGATGCACCTGGGCCTGGAGCACGGCTCTACCCTCACCTCCCCGTGGGGACTGGCCCTGCTTCCCTCAGCTCCTGTAGCAAGGGAGTGCTGGGGGGACCGCAACTCGGGCCCCTGACTTCCTACCCACGGGGTTTTCGCTCAAGCACGTTTGCTTCTTCAGACTCAGTCTTATGTCCACATATTGTTTTTCCTGTTGTGCCTAGCCCATCAGCATTAGCTTAGCCAGAGGTACAATGACCTACAACATAAACCTTAAGGACTGTCACTTGCCCTGTTTATTTTGTGCTCGCTGCAGGCCACAGACTCTTTGCACAACCTAGGAAGGTCTGCTCCTGCAGGTTTCCTCTGCTCCTGGTTCTTTGAATAGAATGTGTTTATAATTTGGAATAAAGGATAATTCTCAACAAATATTGATATTTTCTTTATATAAGTATAGAAGCACTCAATCATGTACTCAGGAACTATTTTAGTATCCTTTGCTAAACCAATATAGGAGTTGTCTGATTTATGTGGACTTTCTGGATTGTTGTAGATATTTTTATTAAAAATGTTAGCGTTTATGCAAATATCAGAGTGTTAACATGTATAGAATTTATATTTAGTTGCTGTCAGAACTTTGCTATCAAAATATGGTCCTTGGACCAGCATCATCAGCATCACTTGGGAACTTGTTAAAAATGCAGAATCTTGGGCCTCATCCCAGACCTGCTGAATCCAAGTCTGCGTTTTAACAAGATGCCATGTGATTTAAATGTTCCTTAGAGTTTGAGGAGCCCTGCTCTAGAGTACACAAAAAGAGTACACATTAAGGCAATCATCATTTTGTTCATGCCCATTTTGCCCAGTTTCACATGGATATCTTTAATACAGTGCAACGGCTCTGCAATTTCCATCCTAGTAACTTCGTCATGGGCTGTCTTATACATTATTGCCCATGAGAGCTATAAAGAATCTCTGAGGGGCACAATTAGTCCTTATTAGATAGATAGGTAGGTAGATAGATAGATATATGAATATATATAATTTTTTAAAGCCATGTAGGGGGCAGGTGTCAAGAACTGTGAAGGGTCTGAGATTTTACTCTACTTGCAAGCTAACAAGTTAGCCTGCCACAGTTTCACAGATGGTGGCAGAAGACATGAGACTCCTGGGTCAGAGACAAAGGACTTTCTTACTTATTACACTGGAAGCAGCGTCAGTAGCATGTGTGTGTCAGTTCTCTCTGCCCCGAGTCCCACGGGGCTGATGCAGATGGGCTGAGATTGCACTATAGGAAAGGAACCCTGAGTTTAGGGAATTTGAATCTTTTTAAATGGGCAGTTAACATGCTTTCTCTTTGCCCCAGAGATATGATCTCTATCTTCTAAAGCTGTTCGCTATACAAACTTCCTCGAAACAATAATCCAGAAAAAAAGGCAGTCAGTGCCTCTTCTTGTAAGATATCCAGAAATGCAAGGGACTCATGGAGAATATGTCCCAGCAATAGGTAATAGAATATCTTTATTATTAGGTTTTAGGGCCAATAAATATTTTTTGGAAGTCATGAAAGATACATTTCCCAATCCCTGGGTTGTACTAAGGTTTATTTCTATCAGAAAGACTCTAGGAAGTAAATAACTTCCAGTCTTGGCATGCAGCTTAGCTCCCTACAGGAAGAGAGAAGTTATATTAAGAAAGCAGGTGGGGTTGTGCATCATAAAAAGTGGGGTCACCTGTGGCTCTTCATGGTTGCAGTTGTACTATTGAAGTACTGAACGCATTCTTATCCTGAAGTTTGAGGGATGTGACATAATTCAGAGAGCGCTGAAGAGACTAGAGATGTTTAAAAGACTGGGAAATGGCAGGGAGAATAGCAGGGATAAATTGGGGCTAAGGGTGATTTTCTAATACAGCAGTTTCATTGTCTATAAATGGTTTGTCTTGCAAAGCAGTTGATTTCCTTTGTTTTGTCTAAGTTGGGGCTAGATCTTCCATAAAATTATAAATGAGACTTCTGCTTTGACTCCTAGAGTTTTTCTCTTCTCTCAAAGAATTAAGAGTTTGGAAAAGAGAAAAATGGAGCAGTTTCACAAAGCATATGGCGGTGGTATACTGATAAATTTTTAACAACCAGCTTGTAGGGGTGCAGTGGGGTTAGGGACCTAATTTGTACTGTTTGCTGATTTCTGTGGTGTAAATATTCCCACCGTGGCTGATTTCAAGCTACCCATGTGACGTCAGCCAGAATTCGCAAAATTCCTGAAAATTTAACAAACCAGTATGAGCTGGCTCCAGCAACCCATTGCAGAACAGTCCTAATTAGCAAGTTTTTGACAGTGAAGGTAGTTTGGTCCTACAAAAGGTTTGCTCATAGAAGTTCCTTTTTTCAAGATCTTTTATAATAATGTATGTTGTGCTTGTCCCCGGGCAATTCATAGATAGGCTTACCTTAAGGTAGGATGACAGCCTCAATGATTTTTTGAAGTTCATTTCAACGATATGATTTCATTTTTTTAAAAGTCTTCCTTTATATTGTGCGTATAACCAGCCTGGCTATTTGCTTTTTTTAAGTAAACCAACCACCAGCTCAGCATTTTCTCTTCTATAGAAAGGCCTGTAGATGCAGCCTGACTGTCACTGATATTTTTAGAAGAGTGGGAGGCTATTCAGGCGCCAACCAGTGATGATTCCTCATAATTGGTGATCTGTAGAATCATAATGAATCACAAATTCAGGAACAAGACACCTGCCTCAGTGGTTGGTGGTGGCTGGTGGTTGGATGGGGGCAGGGTGAATCCTCCTTGCACTAGTGGTGCCTGAAGCCTGTTGGAGAGCCTTACCCTGGAATCCCCCCGGCTCAATTGGGCTGCTCACCTGGGCTGCGGAGTTCTGTGAAGTCCCTCTGTGGAGCGCTTTATTGCTGTGTTGACAGAAACATTTTCCCAGAGAACTGAAGTGGGAGCCCAGACCATGCAGTTCCAGTGAAGCTCACAGTGAGCAAGTCTCTGCTGCCCAGCTCCTGCTGGGGCACTTTGCTTCAAGGGCAGAGTTACTCCCTGTGGCCCCCTCTCCCTTCCCAGCTGTTGAGGGATAAGTGGAAGGAGCCAGCTTGCCACACTCGGCTCACCCGGGTGAGAGGAGCTTTCCTGGCCTCTGGCTTTCCGAGCCTGCCTCTTCTTCCTCCAGCACTTACCAGAAGGGAGGACCTTGACTTTAATGCAGATTTGAGTGCCTCCTTCACTCTCCCTTGGGTGGTATTGATTGGAAGGCTTTAATTATTTATTTTTCAGATTTATAAAATGCTCATCTTGCCAAGGTCTCTGAGCACACGGAGGAGAGTAAAAATATTAATGAGTAATATTAATAAAAAACTCCGCCAAACAGAGATGCACATTCTGAAGGGTCCATGTCAGCTTTGCTGGAAGCCTGGTAACATTGATTCAGAGCTTCCATTACAACTTGATTTTTTTCTGTTTATAAAATGCGCTGTTTCTGGGGGGGCTTGTTCTCCCACGGAAGGAAATGCATTAACAAGCAAAGAGAAGGAGCACACAGATTTGCTGTTTAGGCTGAGACCAAATTGAAAAGACAACTCACATGCTGTGTTCTAGAGATCAACTCCCACCGACCCCCTCACTCCCATCTTCCCTTTTTTCATGAAAGCAAAACTAGAAGTGATTTTTTTAAAAGAGGGCTTTGTGTTGTCTGACCCAAATTTTTGTCTAGACACGCAGACAAATTAGATTCCGGAGTTTTCTTGCTCCGTGAGAGGGAGGAGCTCCTCTGAGAAGGGCGTGCTCGGCCAGGCCAGATGTCTGCTGCACCTTCTTGCCCCAGTCACGGCAACAGCACAGTAGCCGTGGGTCGTTAAAAGGCTTAGCTGGATGCGGACGACTTGACTCGCTCCTCAGAAGTTCAGGAAGAGGAAGTGAGGCATTTCGTTTGATAGGCAAAGAGTGTGCAAGTTTGAAAAACTTTTCTCAGGTGTGTTGGGTCTGAAATCCTAATGCCAAATTGGACTCCTCTCTGGAGTCAGAGATGTTTCTCTCCACTGCTGAGGACAGCAAGTGCCAGAGGGGCCAAGAAGAACCCAAGACACTCCTGCTCGCATCTAGCATTAACAGCTGGCACCACTAGAGGGTCAGAGAAGCGCCCCGGTAGCTGGCTTTTGTGAATAGAAAATGTCATTATAGAGGGGGCTCTATCTTATGTTTTCTCCTTAAAAATCTAGTTATGATTAACATTCTTGCCATCAGGGAACCTCTGGATGTTTGACATGTCAGAGTTCCACCAGTACAGGAGAAGAAAACGCTTGAGCTATCCCCTTAAAACAGAAGTTGTCAACTTAAGACCCATGGGCCAAATCTAGCCCATTGTTTGTTTTTGTGAGTAAAGTTTTATTGGAACTCAGCCCCACCCATTCGTTTAGGGGTTGTCTCTGGCTGCTTTCATGCAACACCACAGACTTGAATAGTTGTGACTGAGACCACATGGCTCAAAAAACCTAAAATATTTTCGTGTGGCCCTTTATAGAAGAAAGTTTGCTGACCCCTGCCTTACAGAGAAAAACAAGCAAAATATCTAATAAAATGATAACTCACCATTCGGCTCCCCACATAGATTGCTGGTTTGGCCTTTCTTAGGCAGGTGCAGAAGCAGAGGGATGGGAACAGAAAGAAGTTCTAGCTCAAGAGAATACCAAGACCAACCCTGTGCAGCTTTACCGTAAGAGTCTGTGATTTCCACTGTGGCCATGTTTGTTTAACGTATGAAAATGGAGATTGTGGAGAAAGAGAAAGCTGCCATCAGGGTTGGGGGGGGGGGCGATGCTAGACTTCATTGATCAATAGTCCTTATTGATCTATTGATTCCTAATTAAGAGCTGGTGGATTGGATGGCTATAGATAGAAATATGAACTATCATATTTCTACTTGGAATTTTTTCTTTTATCTTTTTTATAAAGAAAAATATGAGAAGTTTTCTGGCTTGTTTGGGTTGGTGGTAATTTGAGGGATATGGCAAACTTTGTGTGATATATTCTTGGTAGGTAAACAAAAAAAGGTATTCTGTATTTGGGTATTTTTTGACAGTGTTTGGTATAGCTTCCCACATACTTTATTTTTAATAAAAGGCTATCAGGATTCCTGTTTAAAATGTGTGACCTTTGTATATTTCATCATCTTTTCTTCCTCTCTTCATAACTTTCCCAAAGAAAATCAGCCTTGTTTCTGTCTCCCAGTGCCCAAACCTCATGTGTGCAAAGTACCTGTGTAGTCTCGTCAGAAGGAAACTGATGCGATCTTTGAGAAATAGGCATTTTAAAAAGGATGATGTTTGCTTTTGTGGGAGTCTTTTAATACTTTTAGGATGGGAAAAATTTTAAGAAAGCAGCAGTTATAGCTCCCAAAATTAATCTAAAATGAATTATAGCCTCTAAAATTAATCTCTAATTATACCTGAGCGTTCTTTACATGCATATTTTGTTGACACTTCTGAAAATTTCATAACATTCTCTAGTATATATCACCTTTTAGAACATAACAATAAGTTTTCCATACTTATATAATACCTTTTAACATAAATGAAGCATCTGATTCAAGAACTACCCACTAACGACTTAGCCTTTTTGCTTCCCATTAAAAGTGTGGATTTCCAGATTAATAAACAAAATACGTATTTTAGCCATTTTAGCGTAACTCTCTTTCTCTTTTACCCTGAATTTAGCCAAACAGTTGAAAAGTGTTTATTTTTAATGAGACG